CGATATATATATATATATATATATATATATATCGATTCCAATAGAGTTTGGCAAATGTTCAACGATTACCTGTATTGTTTTTTTTTTTTGTTTTGTTTTCTTTGTCTACATCTGTGATTTCATCTGTTTTATTTATAATGATGTGTACGAAACAGATCGTGCTTGGACGAACGAAAATGGATAACGAAACAATAAAAGAACGAGAAGCAAGTGAATGAATTTATTTCGATTAATATTCGATATGGGCTGTTCGATATACGAATTTATTGGAACTTGGTTCATGCACGATCGAAATTCGGTGCAATATTACGAGTATTGTATCTTAGATATTAATTACCAAAACTCAGAGGAAGCATTAGTTAGAATACGTTCTTTAATTTTTTATCTTTTAGGATTTTAATATTTCTAGAAATAAAATTTAAAAAAAAATTGTAAAAATTTTGAAGATATATATTCGTTACTTCGAATGATTAAAATAATGTGTGAAAAGCATATAATAATATACGTAATGCGTTATATTTTATAACTTGTGACTAATAAAATTTATATACTCATAAAATATAATTTTATAAAATTTTAATATACTTGAAAGCTACTTATTAAATAATGATCAAAATTTCTATAATTTTAATTGTTTCTAACGAAATGAAATTATATCTTTTACTGTATTTTTAAACTACTGTAAATTATTGTTATTGTCAATAAAATTTATCATAAATTGGTACTAATATGCTACATATATATATATATATATATATATATATATATATTTTGTAATTTATGATACCTGAAATGTAATTACGAAGTATTTAATAGAAAATTTATGTATCAATTATACACACAATTCATACGCTCGTGTTAGTAAAATAATTTTACTATTTTTCTTAGATAAATTTAACACGTAAGAATCTTTTAAATAAAATTTTATTTATAGCATTGAAGAAATATGATTAACTCATCTAGACAATTATTTATCGTAACTTAAATTTAAAAAATTCGCATTATACAAAAAAACATTAATAAAGTTATATATGATTGCATTCAGAATATTATCGAATGTGTAATAAATTGTAAATTAAATGATTTTTTTTTTATAAAAAAAAAAATTATGCTTTAAAATATGCTTGACTTGAGCAGAAGTACATATTTGGACATAGCACTATATAACAGTATCACATTTTAGATAAAGCCCAGCAATTTATAATAACGCAAAAATAATGATATATTTACATTTTTAATAGACAATATGTATTCGATAAATTTTACTATTTTTTTTTTCTATGAGCTATGAGCTATACATTATAAAAAAAAAAAAAATGTGAAATTTAAATTATGTTAAAGTTTCTATGAGAATATAAATAATACTAAAATCATTTAAAAATTATTGTACTAAGTTAGATCAGTTTCAATAGTTAAATATCCTATTGGTGTTATTTTTAATACATTAGTTGAGAAATATTAGCACGAAATGAATATGAATTTTTGAAAATTAATTCTGAAACTAAAATATAAATATATTTAAAAAAATTCAAAATAATAAAATATTATATTACAATTTATCTGATGCATGTTATAATTTATTATCCGATACTGTCAAATTTCTTCTAATTATTTTCTTGCAATATATCGATTTAAATCGTGCTTCACAGCATTTATTATTTACATGCACAGATATGTTGTACACATCCTTAATAATCTAATGAGATAAAGTTTTTCGGTCAAGATATATATTACTTCTATTGGACATGTGGAATTTATAGCCATTCGAATGCACAGCAATTGCTCGTAAACAAACTACTAATATGCTGCTCTTGCTGTTTAATAATTTTATACAGAACAAAGGTGTGTTTTAATTAAGAATACACCTATAAATTGTTAGTTAGTAGAATACACTTTTTTTTTTTTTTCCATTTCTGTTACGATCTTTTTTTATGATTATTCGTATCTTTAATTCATTTGATTTTTATATTTAAAGTATTCAAGCCGACTTTAGCAATAATTTAAAAAAAAAAAAAAATATTATACCTTTATCTGAGAGGGCATGTCGTTAACAGCGGGGGTATGGAAGTTAAAGAAGTAGGCTCCCTTAAATTAAGTTTATGCAGTTCTTCATCGGCTTTGTTATGCTTCAATTCTTGCTGAGTGTACAAAAATTTATTCCATTCATCAATTCTTGGATGTGCCAAATGCTACACGTTCAAAAAAGACGTAAATATTCAATATTCAACTCGTTGTTATTCGCTAAATACTTGATTGAATTAAAATAATTAATAAGATAAAGATCGATACAAGATGATCTTACCTCGGCAACATCGTACACCCAAATTTTTCCAGAATCATCACCAACAGTTACGTGTAAACCACTCGGTGTCCATGAAACTCTGTTCAGAGCCGGACATCCATTAATTACAATACTAGCCGTAGGTACTTCGGTATCTTGATTAAGATTCCACAAGTCTAATCGTCCCGAGTCATCTACGGCAGCGAATAGAGCCGGATGGGTAGGCGACCACGCAACGTCATAAACATAATCGCCATTATGTTCGAAAGAGTACAAAGGTTTGCTTTCCTTAAGGCTCCACAGTTTGATCGTCCAATCGATAGACGACGTTAAGAATAGATGCGAGAAATCTATTCCACCTTGTACAGCGTGCGCGCTAATTCCTGTAACTGGTCCTTGATGACCTTCGTAAGTCTCCAATACACCTGCTTTTGTACCGTGACGGCACGCTATTAAAGAACGATGATGATAATAATTTTAATATATAACAAGATATATCATGTATGCGTTTAATTTGATTTAAAAATGATTATTTACCAGAGTATACGGTTCCTTCCTCACTGCCTACAACGAAATTGTTAACATCACCGTGGGGGAATGCTAAACAAGTGGCTGCAATTGCTTTCGATTGTTTAGTGTGAAGATCTAACGTTTCTTGCGGTTGCGACAACATGTCTAAACTCCAGGAGCACAATTTTCCATCGGTCGATATACTTATTAAATTGTGCGCGTTTTGTGCCCCAACAACGTTTAAACAGTACACAGGGTGCTAGAGAGAAATGTTTTCATTCTTAATACGATTAATATTATACCGTTAAAAAAAACGTACTTGAATGATTGTCGAACAACTCACGGTATGTGCGCTTGCTGATAACGGAGTACGTTGAATAGGGGTTCTCTTCTGTACTCTATTATCCCAGAGTACGATCTGTCCGGAATAAGTACCCCCTAAGATTAAATTAGGATGAAATCGTGCAAAGGTGGTCGACATGACGGGGGATTGGCAATGAAAAATGAACTCTGGCGTCGTTTTCTTGAACTTTGTGTTCCAAACCAAACACACCCCATCGGGATCGTTCGGGGTATCATCGTTATTGTTGTAGGAGGCTGCGAGCAGTTCCGGAAACTGAGGCGACCAGTCCATAGAGGTCACGCATCGATTGCGGGACCATCGATCACAGAAGAACCATCGATTCAACCATAAACGTTGATGATTCTTTTCGTCCCTGGGGGATGAGTATAAGGAATATAGATTGTCAGACGATATTTATCTTATACTCACATCCCATCCTCGCCATCCATAGTGCCAGTATAATCGCTATAAATATTAACCGATTCTCCTAACGCCCTTTCTACAATTCTACTAGTACGATCGAGGAATCGTTGGAAATCTTCCGAGAGTATGATCATTTGTTTCTCCTCCTCGCTCAGCTCTTGTACTGTGTGGATAAATTAAAATTTATAGATAATAATTGCGATTAGTATCGATATAGTAATAGTAAGCGTGAAATTACCTTCTTTAGGTTTTTCTTTTTCCTTCTCTTGCTCCACTTGTGTAACCGCTGGCTGCACTTCCTTAACTTGTGGCAAACCGTGGGGAAGAATACCAGGTGGAAGCTTGCTTTGGAAACCGTCCATATGCGGCAAACTGTTCTCTTCGTCTTCGGCTTGGCCATCATCAAATGTCAAAACTGTGGTGAATAAGCTGGTTCCGCCACGAATACCCTAATTTCGATATATCTATCTACCTCTGGCAAAACTGCCCTACTTTTTTAAGATTCGAGTGCGCTACGTTTAAGAGAAAAGAGAAGAATAAAAAAAAAAAAAAGAAAAAAAAAAGGAAAAAGAAAATGACTATAACATCTCGTGAACACTACGTGATAATAGAACGTATTCTTATTGGTACCTCCTAACGAGATATTCTATGTAAAATAATAATTGCAAAGACCTATTGCGTAAAAATATGCACGAAACAATAAGAAAAGTATAAAAAGAGAGCGAAAACGCGATGCATGCACATATCTGTGCAAATTTGTGTAAATTTTTGGTTAATTGTCAATTTGGAATATATTAGCGTAATCGTGTAATAATGTAGTAATATCATAAAAGATAAAATAAAACTTTTTGCCAAATGAACAAATTTGAAAGCGTAAAATTGAAGGGATGCAACTCTCTTTCTTACAAAAGCTTTTAGTAGAAGTATATATATATAAATAAAAAAAAAAAAAAAAAAAAAAGAAAAGAAAGAAAATTAAAAAAAATTTAAAAATTAA